TTTCAAAGTATTTGAATAGTCTTATAAAGGATTACAGCTAACTGGCAATGAAATTGATAAAGGCTTTCCAAAGAAAGTAAATCTTATGGAAACTGTAAATATGAACTCTATTCTCAGTAATTCTCTTCTTTTCACTTCAAATCTATCGTTGGGCACATTACTGAAATAATAAGTTGAAGAGATGAACCTGAGTTTTTATGTCAAAAAATGTATTCAGCCAGAAGATTCCAAGTTAGAAGGGCTGTGGACAGTTGGTTAGATTTAACTGGCTAAACAGAAAAAGATGCTGAACTATTTAGTTTTGTAGTTATGTGATATATTTTGGCAAACAAAATTCATGATCTAGAGCAGTGTCGGATTTTTTCGTTTGAGGTGGAATAGGTAGGAACTCCTGTGTGCCTTATGACTAAATGTTTTGGAGGATGTTTATAATTTTCATCAAAAGCGTGAAATGCTAGCCACTGCTAGAGGTGGGATGTGGTTACTTGTGGGTGAGGATCTTGGCCAGTCTGGGAAGTCTGGTGTTGAACTGTAATTCTACAGCATGTAAGCACTGTGGTTGGCTCTGGAGAAGCAGAGAGGGTTAATTCCTTTGGTTTTGCCCTTTGACCACTTGAGGATGGGAAGTATGATGAAATACTTTCTCAAAGCATTCAATAGAAACATATCCTGAATAATTGGGGCAAAATAGAATAAATCAAGGCTTTTTTGGTCATAATTGAAACCACATTGAGGTTAGGATTTGATATTCAGAGTAACCTAGCTGAAAAAGCCATACCCACAGAGGTACAGGATATATCTCCGCTTTGCTTGGATGTATGGAAGAACTGCTTAGCTACTGTACAGTTTAATGCTCTCTAGTCCTGACCTCTAGGCTTTTAAATGACAGTGAGTTGTTCTCATTCAAACTGTGTGGTTTCACTAGTATGTTAGTTATAACAAGCACTAAATCTGATGGTTGCTGAAAATACTTAGGGAGGAAAACCGACTGTCTTGTTCGTGGGAGCAGTCGCATTTTATTTTAAAATGCTATTGCCTCATTTTCCCACTAAATGATAGCTGAGAAGTTCTTGACCCTGTTCCATAATATATGGAACAGCTTCTTAGAGCCTTGTGTTCCTAGAGATCATTCTGCGACGTAGTCTGTAATGTTTGCTGGGGCTTTTTTTTTTTTTTTTAAGTCTCTTTATGTGGTCTCAGTGTACACTTAAATAATAAGTTTGGGGTAGGAGTCTGTCTTAGTTATGTCTAGTATTTCACCAATACTCTAGCGGTTCTATAGCGTTTATAATGATTGGCCAGTTCTAAGTCCAGTTGTGTTAGCTGACATCTGGGAACTCGTATCTATTTCACTTTGCATGCTGCTAAGAATGATCTGTTTAAACATTCTCTGTTAATTCTAACCTGAAAGTTCCCCATCAAGTCCAACCTTAAGCATCTCAAATAGGGAGAATTCAACTCTCTTGATATCTTGTCCTTAATGCATTAACTTCTCCTACAATGGAATCAGGTTGTTTTTAATGACCAACAGGGAGAGTGATATTTAATGTGTCTACAGTAAAGGAAAATGCCTTACTACTAAGTAGAAACTGTGCATGCATGTGTGCATGCACAATTGTGGAAAGCATGTACAGGGATAGCGGCAGTAATTTGAATCCTTTCCTGTGGGCATATCCATTCTGAGAATTCTCCCTTCTCTCCAACTTCAGGCTATCTCTAAGCTCTCACTGTCATTTTAGGTCCCACTGCTTCAGCTTTTCATGTGGTCTGCAGAGAGCTGTCAAACAACTGATATTGCAAGATGAAGTGACAGGAGATTACTCTTAGGAAGCTGGCATTTGAAACTTGATCCTTTTTGCCCATAAAAATGATTGACAGTAAACAACCTGTCAATTTTAGATTAAGTATCCTGGCTCCTGTAAAGATATTAGCTGGGAGGGCAAAAGTAAAGGATTGTCTTATCCATAGTTGAATGTCAGCACTTTGTCAAAGAAGAGTGATGGACGATCAATCTGCTGTTGCTTCTTGCTCTTCTTTCTGAGAGTGAAAGCTCTTAAGGATTTCCATCACGATCGCTCACTGCTTGGTTTCTTGAGAAGTGATTGGGAGAACCAATCTCTATGTCATCATCCATTGCATGATTTGCTGCCATAATGGAGATTTAATTAGGTTGCTGTTGAATTAATTGCCTGCATGGTTTGCTTTTCCCAAGCAGAAGTCTGGAAGACTTGAGTAAATTATGGAGGCTTGAATTTGCCCGATTTCCTGCAGAAAGTGGGGTCAATAGGTCTCAGACTGTAGACACACTCTTTAGGCAGGCAGCAGGGGGTTGGCTCTTAATGGCACTTCAGAAATGCTTAATTGCCTTTTTGAAATGTTTTTCTCAAATGAGAGGCTTGGTTCTCCTATCCGTTACAATCTACAGGCTTTTCCCTTCACCACTGCTTGTTAGTAGATGTGTACAAAAACACCTGAGAAGTTGTCTTATTCTTCCTAAGTTATAGCTAGCAGGGAAGAATTTTCCGTGCCTTTCTGAAAGTAAAAGTTGTAATTTTAATGTTGTACCTAAAACTTATGTTTTTAAGAGAAAACATGATCATTTTTATATCTACACATACTTTATTTTTTCTGTAAATCCTTAAGAAGTCTTAGATGATAGAAAGAGAATTATCTTTTTCCGGGGGTATTACAGCAAATCATCTCTTAGGAAGTGCTGTAGCCAGAAAAAAAATTGCTAAATAAAGTCGACTTCAAGTGAGAGTGATTAATTTAGATGGCAGAACTCACCCGCATATAATAAAAAGAATATTGTCCATAAGATTACTTAACCAGTTATTTCTTCTTGTAGAGCAGAAACATAAGATTTTCTTGGCGCTCTGCTGAGTAGGACGTTCACAGGTATTAATACAAAGAGGTTTCTGAATATTATTTAAAAAGCTTCTCAACGTTGCAAGGATCATTTGGGAAATAGCAGCCTGGGGGACAGGGAGTGTGTGGAAATGAGTCTTTAAAGCATTAATGAGATGGATTGTGCTCTGATAACATTTAGATTGTGTTTTAATGTAGAAATTACTGAAGCTAGAGCAAAATCAAGGGGTTCTCCCTGTCTACCACCAGTCTTCTCATAAAATTAGCAAAAACATTTGTAAAAGCTTTAATTTTAGAAAATATAATCTAAAAGATGATTTGTCTCTGCACATTATCAGTTCATAACATAATTGATACATATTTTCTGCATTATTGGTGCAGTCCTCTGCTATTACAGGTTGCCATGTCCCTTTCATGAACCAAAGTTCCATTTTATGCTATTACTATTCATACATTATCCTATTACTCCTGTTGGGGGAAAACCAGAACTTCATGCCTTCTATTAGAAGCCTTAGACACAGTTTTTATCAATTAGTGCTTGTACCAGACCTGAAAAAGAACCTGTACGTCTGAAAACTAGTCTGTTTCTTTCCAGCTGTATCAGTAGTTCTAATGCAAGATATTTCTTCTCTTGACAAATCCTTGCCTGGAACATATCCTTAGGCTGCCATGGATAGGATTGTGTGCTGGCACTGCACTCACATTTAAGTGGCTCTTTTCCACCTCGCATATTTATCCTCCCCATTCATTGTTCATATGTTTGTAGAGGGAAATAATATTCACATCATAATTTGCTCTATTATGCTAAAATAGACAAAATGTTATGGTCTCCTTGAGTAAAATAGGCTCCGTATTCCTCCTGTCCTTGTGGTGATGAAGGATACTCTGGCTAAAGATGTCATCAGTCACAGATGAGAAAGGTGGTATATAAGGTGTATAAGGAAAAATGATCCAAAGACTAAATAAGGAAACTGAAAATTGCAAAGTTTATTCCCTGCAAATATGAGCTGATAACTTTGAATCTGTAAAACTTAATGTTCCCACTGATGCAAGTAGAGCTGCAGTATGAGTTTAGCTGAAGATTCGCACAGTGTTTCTGGAAACTGCTAGCAGTTACTAACCTATTATGAGTGCTCTTAGTTTTTTATGGGCAAAGATTCAAGACTTCCCTGCAGAAAAGCATCAAGTTTCTGCTTTCCCAGCTCCCCTTTTCACCTCCTCCCAAAAGGTCTTGTTTTTCCCTTTGCTGCTCTGTCCTACCCTTAGTATCGTGCTTGGAACGTAAGCTGGAGTGGAAAAGTTGAGGTTGCAATGCCTGCTCCCGCTCTTTCATTCCTACCGAATGCTTCCTTCCCTGCTTCCTCCCCCCAGCATCGGCTCCAAATGCAGTTGGCACATTCAGTGCAAATGTAATTGTCTGTCTTGTCTCTTGTCAGTTGAGCTGGCTTTCTTGTTCTAGCAGTGTATTGAAATAAGACCTTTAAAGTCTTAAAAGGGGTGCCCTAGTTAAAATTCAGGAGGAGCAGATAACTCTCTGAAATAGATTTTTGCGTCTCATGCCTCTTTTTTTTTTTAATGCAGTAGGTTTTTTTCACTCCATTGAACAAACACAGTTTTGTAGAAGCTGGTACATTAGTGCCTGCTTTTGCCTTTTTCACTTGGGTGCCTATTTTATGTCAGGGTTATGTTTTTGCTGCATTGGTTTTATTGTTTTAAACTCTTTTCCCTGGTGAAATTGTAGTGCTGATTAAGTCTCTGTTTGCTTACTGAGTCCTGACAATAAAAAAAAAAAATACCTTGAAGTAGTGATTAGTGAATGAGAATTGAGCCACGCTAGCTAGGTTTAAAATTCACCTTAGTTTTCCTTACCCACAAGTCTGTCCGCCCCTTCTACTTAACTTTTTTTCTAAAACCCCTCTTGTATCAATTAGGCAAAAGTGAAAATTGAATTAAGGAAGAGGTTGGAAGGAAGGATTTGCAAAATTGTTGAAGCCCACTTTTGCCAGAAGTGGTGAATCAGCATTCCTAATTTGAACACCTTCCAAGTCGGACAATTAGATTCTAGCTATGTGAATTCCTCTCTACTGTAATAATTCACTTTAATTGAATCATTTTCCTGTTCTCCTTCACAGAAATGGAGCAGTGTGAGTAACCCACTTTTCCTTCCACTGATCCCACCGCAGTCCCAAGGTTTCACAGCTATAGTTCTGACCTATGACCGGGTGGAGAGCCTTTTCCGAGTCATCACTGAAGTGTCGAAAGTGCCTAGTCTATCCAAATTATTAGTTGTCTGGAACAACCAGAATAAGAATCCACCAGAAGGTAAGACCTCGTGGCAGTTGTGGTGGAGGGGGTTGTTAAACAGGGGGTAGATTGCCAGTTGCACCTGTTACAAAGTGACCTCTCTTCTACTTTATTTTAATATATCTTCTGAAACCATTTCGCAGTTACTTTCAGAATAATAAATTTGAATTTTTTGGTGACTTGAAAGTGAAATGAGAAAGGCCAAAGTAGATTAAAAGAAAAAATCATGGCAATGTTTCTGCTCCAGTTCCTGAATCAAAGGTAACAGATGCAATAGTTATAGAAGCGTTGTTCTCAACTTTATTTTAGGGGGAGGGGTAAGGAGAGACTTACCTTATTTGTCAGTGCTTTGTTTTAATTCTCTGTAAACACTTCTCATCGCAGTGAATACTTACCCTGCTAGAATGTTTTCTAGAGTAAATTTGGTTCAAAGCAGCAAAGCGTTTTGAACGCGTAGAGCTATAAAATAAGCGAATGTTTTGACTGATGACATGAAAACTTGAGACGTTTCGGGTGTCTAAAGAGAAGTTTGGAACAGAATATCCTGTGAAAATGCTAAGGCTGGCCCGGTGAGACAGGAAAAGACATATGAGCCTTTATGTAATTGTTTCTGCTTCTGGCACATATACTACTATGTTATATCCCTTATGAACGAATCTGGTGAAGCCTGCAGGATATTTTAAACTTCTAAATTCATGGTTATTGTAAAATGAGGGCACATTCACAGACCTTTTCCCAAATAACTGAAATCTGTAGATTCTTGGGAGAACGTTTGGTTTCAGAAGTATGTTAATGACCCAAGTGTGAACTCAGTGATGTAAAACTCTGAATTCAGTTTTTAATGAGGTTGTGCTTTCTGGCATGGGCCTCTGCTGGCATAGCATGCTGCCATACCGTGTCAACACATTGTTTTTCGTTCAAATGTAACTTCAAATAGCAAAACTGCCATTACAACCTTTTCTACCCAAGGATCTGCATGGAAAAGTTTAATTTTTCCTAAGCTGTTATTGCCATAGCTGTATTGATCAGCTCCACCTCCACCAGTATTGTCATTCAGCAACTGTTGTTCGGTAGTGGACAAGAGCATAGGGGTTAAACTTTAACACAGTAGGCCTTCTATAGGCCTTCTGTTAGGCCTTCCTTAGGCCTTCTTAGCTCAGGTATTCTACTTCACTTGCTATGTCTCCTTCAAATGAGGACCAAAAGCTCAAAGACCCTATCACTTCTGCTCTCTTACCGAATAACCTCATCACCCCATTTCGGTGATCCCCCAGATACTCTTCTGTCATATATTAACCCCTTTGGCAAGGATGTCAGTCGTGCAGTTGGCTGCCTACCTTTCCAAACCAAGACTCTAATCCCACGTCTCTCCCTCCTCTCCATGTAATATCACTGCACGCTCCATGGCTTTGCTGTCTCCCATCAGTCCCTTTTTTCCCCAGCCATTTACTTTCTGCATCATGAGCCCATTCTGCCATTGCTCTTCTCCCACAACCTCTGCTGGAAGTACAGACCCTGACATTGGGGAGCTTCTTCACAGAATCACTCTGGAGTGAATAGGAGAGCCAGGAGCCATTGCCCTGCATAACGGAAAGTTGTTTGGGTTGTCCCCAGTGTGAGACAGCAACAGTGAAGGTGCTCATTTCATTTCTGTGCTTATTGCTATGTGGGAGGAGCTTCTTCCAAGTTACGGACACTTATCCTAAAATCCTGAGCATTGTTTTGGGCAATTAATTAATAAATCTTCTCATTTGTGGTTAAATAATGTAGATATAGTAGTTCTGAATGAGTTTGTTTCCTGTATGGGATACATATGAATTGGGCATTCTTTTCTGAGTATGTAGGTGATGTGTTTGTGGGAAAAGAAGTATTTCCTTCTAAGAATAAGTGTTTAAAAATTGCTAAATCTGGTGACAAAGACCTGTATGAATTCAGCCGTCTTTAAATGAAGCGTGTCTTTAGAGTTTCTTGCTTTGTAATTTGTTTTCAGAATGCAGCTTTGGCTGCTGCTTTTTCCACTCTTGGAAATGAGTTATTCTGCATAGCAGTAAGATATAATGTAAAAATTAATTTGTGACCACTTGTTTCAGCTTATGATCTTCTGACAGCTTCCCAAGAGCCAAGCTATTACTTCCATTGACCTGGCTCATTTCCCATATTGGCCAGTTGCTCTAGTGTAAAGTGGAATAGCTTTGTTTTTCGCTTCACACACTTCTTTAACATTGTTGTGCTAAACATCTGAAATTTAGTGATTTATTAAATGTTTTACAATATTTTGAAGAGAGAAGTGGTGTGTATAAGTTGATGATACTGACATTTTTGCAGGAAGGTTTTTTTCTGAAAACAAACATGCTTGATATTATATAAAATCTGTTGTGTAAGCTATGAAGATGTGTCCACTGAATGCATATGAATTTGACCCAAATGAATTGTTTCCATGTTTTCCTTTTAGTGAGCCTGAGGTAAAGGAGAGTTGAAGATAATAAATTATGATGATAATATTTTTATTAAACCGTTTTTATTAAACTTACGTTTAGAAATTCTTGAAAATTAAAGTGAGTAATTTTTTTCTGCTTTGAGAAGTGCTAAGTCATGAACCCGTCTCAAAAAAAAAAAAAAAATCCTCTGCCTCTTGATTTTAAGTTCATGGATTTGTTTACCAGTTGAGAGCTCAGGCAGTTTTGCCCTTGTGTTAGACTGAGCATTGTATTGTGGTAAATAACTGTTTGTTTCTAGTGTCCCTTGTCTCTTTATTGCTCTTACAACTGTTGTAATCTCCTGGGCCGTGGCCAAAGAGAGGTCAGTTTGATTAAATTAATTTATTTTATTTCAGATCCATGCAGGACGTTCCACTTGGCTCTTCAGCTAGTCTCTCATTCAGTCTATTAGCGAGCCTAATCCTTCGACTTCAAAGCTTCTGCCATTTATAGCCTGTTAAAGCCAGGAAGTTTCTGATGGATTAGGGCAAGGAATGAGTTTGAAGTTTGTAATGTGCACCACTGTCACTGATAAAGACTAGTTTATTACCCTACAGTAGTATCGGCACTTTTATGGCTATTCTCTTTTAATTGGTTATAGTAAAGCTTGAGGCGCTTAACCTCCCCGAGCATCAAGTGCCGTATTTCCTGGTCGTTTCCATATAAGGGACACATTTCTGTACAGAAACAAATCTTGGCTTTTGTCATTGCAATCCTTCATGTTTTCATTTTGTTTTATATGCATAAATTGGAGGACTGGGTGAAAGACATCAAAGTTATTTTCCTTTGTGAGGGCGTGCAGTAAACTGAGACTTGGATTTGGGTGTCCTGAGATGTAGCTGGTGTAGTGCTACACAAATGTGACATGTGGCAGCTCCGTTCTTTCTCTCACCAACACTAGAATAATATTTTAATTAAAAATGACACTGAATACTCTTGGCATTGTCATCAGAGCAACATGTATTGGAAATATTCAGAGAGAATATGTTCCTGGAAATGGAAAGGTTGAAGTACACGCAAATTCTAAAATCGGTGTTGCTGGTTTTTTTTTTTTAAATGAATACTTATATACTGGGAATAATACCTTTGCATAATGAAACTCAGCACACTCTATAGAAGAGAACAGAATAAAAATATGTTTGTACAAAATGTAATTAAAAAAATGCCACATTCCACAAAGATTAAAATTCTTTTTGCTTGGCCTAAGCATTTATTAAAGTTTGAGTGAAAAAGATACGTTTGTCAGCATGACCTGAAAATGAACATTGATTTTTTCAGACCAATGATGAAACTGAATTCTGGTCATTCTGCCATCAGTACTGCTGAATGTCCCTCGATGTAGGTAAGAATCAGGAGCTGATCTCAGTTGCTGCACTGGGAAGTGGAAGTAGGTGTGTGGTGTGTTTCAGATACATGGAGAACAAACTTTGCAAATCTGTTCCTGTCAGGGACGGATACAGCTCTGATCTGGCTGACGAAAGGCTGGATTTCTTGTCACATTGACTGACGGTAATGTGGGTGACTATGACTTGTATTTTGGTCCTGGTCTGTGGGTAAATTTCTGTTTGTTCTATGATGGAATGAGATTACAACTGGTAAGGCTACTTTTTCTGCTTCAAATTCTCTGGTGATGAATTGTTACTTCTGTCTAGAAGACTGTTGCAACAGCTTTTCAGTGTGTTTGGAAGCGATCTGTAATCCTTGATAGTCACAGAAGCTGCTTTTTGCAGCTATGAAAAATAATTAAAAGTAAAGCAGTGTATTAGTTCAGTTCAAAGCCTACTTAATAAGCAACTGATTAATTGAATACCTAATTGGAAAAATTTCACCCAAATAACATACAGAATTGTAAAGTTGGAGGAAAAAATGGTGACATATGTAAGGGTAGGAACCAGCAGCAATTTAAAAAATATTTTTCTCTTGCTCATATGAAGTCGTCAAGGATGACTCTCATAACTTTGGATGTTTGAGAGTTACATGTGCAAGCCTGAGCTCATCACTGTTTCCTTTATAATCAGTGAAAAGAAATAATCACCAGCATCTAGTCTGCCTAGATATTTATTTTAGAGGGAAATTAATCATCCCCCTAGAATGATCTTTTTTTCCTCCACTGCGTATGAAGGAAGTATAAGGTGACTAGTGCAGCCTTCGAAAGCTGATCTTTATGTACGTACCTGCCTGCCATACTGGCATACAAGCCACTTGCCATACCAGTCGCCTGAACACAGCAAAGGGGCTCAGAGGTTCTCTCACGAGGTTCTTGAGAAAGAGAAAAAAATTATTAGGCACAAAAAAACCGCAAATGTTTTGGTTAATTTTCTTAGGTGGATGGTTCTTAGAACTGAGACAGTAACCTGGCAGGCAATTTCTGCCTGCTGAATGGGAGCAATTCATTTGTTACTGTGGCTCAGTTTCCACGTCTATAAAAGCAATACAGCAATATTGTCTTAGGTAAAATGCTTTAAGAGCTATAGTTTAAAATTGTTATGAAAGACCTTAATGGTATTATTATTAGGTAGATGCTGAGTGTTCTAATTGGAA